TATATTTTGTTTTACATTTTAATTACATCATTTATCTGTTGAATATTTACTTTTTTTTTGCAAGTTTGAGTATTTTTCAAGTGACTGTATTTTAATTTACATTATCACTATTTTATCTAGCTAACCATTTTACCTAAAAATGACATTTTAGTGATTTATTTACCACACTGTTGTAATACCTTTTCTCTGTTTGAATATCACTTTGCCGTTTATTTTCCTTTTTGTCTATATCATTTTTATAATTTGGATTGATTAAAAAAAGAGGGTCATCCCTCAATAATATCTTGAGTATAAATAAAGGTCAAAGGAATTGGAAAAAAAAAATCATACACACTGGACCTTTACATGTAGCAGTTTTGCAAATTTAATATGTGAGTTTGCGTAAATGGATGCATTGTTTTCACAGCCTGCAGCCTACAAAATGATGTCAGTATGACTGATGATCTCACCATCTTGGTCTCAGAGTGAAGACTGTACCCAGACGGGGAGGATGAAGCACTGCTTGCCCCTCCAACAGGGGGTCCTGGAATCCCAGGGATGTTAGGCACTGTGTTCACTGGCCTCGCAAGCTGCACATTGCAACAAATAAAGACGCAGAGAGAAAAACAGACAAGAGATGGTAAAATACCATTTTATTTGTTACATTTTTTTTCCCCCAAATCTGAAAATAACTTACAGATATAACTGAGGTCATCTGCACAGGACTGGGCAGGAGGGGGACTGTCTGCCCATTAGGAAGGTGCCTCACCAGTGGATATGAGCCTGTGGGGGAGCTGTTGACAAGATTACACACTTTTAAATGGATGCGCCTCCATCGCGTTTCCACTGACGAATTGAGGAATTGGGTTGGCAAAGTATTTTACTTTTACAATGAACTCCCTTTAAGGGTCCGTTGTACCTAGCCCACCTCTCAGGGCCAACTTCCATGGCAGGCTATGTACACAAGCTATCATTGTGAGTAGGGCTTGATTTAATCTCTCAAAAGTAGTTCTGATTTAACCTCGCCTGCATAGTTACACCATAAGGAAGAGAATGACTGAGGAGTCAGACCTCAACCTTTAATCATTTGGAAATATAGTCAAAACTCAATTAACCTGCTTGGACATGTGTGGCATGCACATCAGACACTCCTGCAATGTTTGAAAAATGCCAGCAAGTTTTTCTACATTGAGAAGACTGACATATTCCACTCAATTAGAAAAAAACTATAAGACAACTATAAGACAAAATAGTTCTCCCACCTTTGATCGCCAGTGCGAATGGGTGTGACTTTTGGCATGTCTCGTAGTGGAAACATTTTTGTTGTACATTTTCCAAGGCACTTCTTGAGTTTTAATATGTTTTGCATAGAACAGCATCACTAAAAAGAAACAACAGAAACACAGTGTAGTATACCCAAGTTGTCTGTTGGAGGGCGGAGCTTGTGTGATGACAGAAGTTGGAGATGGCAGTGTCGGATGTAGAGGGTCATTGCTCAGGTGAAGGGGAAGAGAACCTGGACGCACAATCGTTGGAGTGGGAGCAGAGCTTGCCACAGGCTTTGTGAGAATTTCCTGTCAACAAAATTTGCCTTCATAAATGAATTATATCTGCATGTATGAAAAGTAAATCTGTGAAGTAGTTTGCTGGCCACTCAGTTTTTTGACATCGCATTGTACCTTGCCTCTTCCCCTCGAGTCCCTGCTGTTGTCCGACATGCTGGACGAGGAGTCGGGACTATCAGGTGGGGAAGAATCAACTTGTAAAGGACCCTCATCCTCATCTTTTACTTCAGAGGGCGTTTGTAATGGTGCAGGCTTAAAGACCCCAAGCACAGACGAGAAGATTAGGGCTTTCAGATCATTGAAAATAACAAAATGTCTAACACTGACAAGATTTTATGTAACAACCAGCAAGTCATTCATTCAATATTCATCCCTTTTTCTCACCGGGTGTTTTGTTCTTTGCTCATCTTCCTGTGCTTTGCAAAACTCCTGTTCGAAGGAGCTGGCCAGCTCATTGAATAAACCAACCTCCTCACAGTTCTTCAGGAAACGTGTGGGTGTGGGAGTCTGGTCTGCCAAAAAAAAAAAGGCATATATTACATTAGTCAACAGCATTATGGGGACAGAAATATCTCAATCCAAACAGACACACAATAGCACACAAATACAGATCCTCAGAGGAGTGACAGTTTTAATACTCAATTCAGCATCATCCAACAAACACTAACAAATGATTCTGCCATTACCTGCGATGATAACTGAGTCTGTTCTGGCAGGACCAAATTTTAAAGTCATTTCATGCTTGTGTTTGTGTACTGACAGGTGGTCTTCATTTGTGAATCTCTGCAAGAGAAAACACAGCCGGTAAGAAAAATATATTAGTCCAGTATTAATGTAAAGAGCATACCACTCAGCATCAGCGTGTTCACTGGGCAGCTGAAAAATGACAACTTATGTATTTATAGCTCATGTGAGATGAATAATAGCACCTGCTTTCTGTACAGATGATCTACAGTGAGGTAGGCCACTACAAAATCAGTGTTATTTGTGCTTGTGCAGCACCTGAACTATAAATTTAGCTAAACTGTATTAAGCTCATGTGATGACAAGAATAAGACGGGCATCTGCTATACGGTTTTTAAAAAAGTGTTAGGCAGATATGCAGTGAGAAATCATACCTGCCCACATCCAGGGGCAGTGCATACAAAGGGTCGATCATCCCCCATCTCAGAAAAATGTTCTGCAAAAGGGATCAAGAAATAGATGATTAGTTACCGTCTTTTATTATTCAATGCACGAGACAATCCCACAGCTGATGCTCAAGTTGCCAAGATAGATAGACTGTCAATGACTGAATAGCACTTAATGTTTCAATATTGTGATTCATCTTTACCAGTGTTTAGACTATTGACGATTGTTCAGGATAAATTAGCTGGCCAGAAAATATTCAGATGTTATCGTCTTTTATTAAGGCATGTTAGTCTGTGTTTTTACTCGTATCAACCTACAGCATCTGTCGGCATATCAACAATACCATGCACCTGTTGAGAACTGCAATCTGTTAGCGCCATTAATTCCATGTGCTCACCTGTCACCAAAAAGCCTGGTAAGGTGGTCATACAAACAAGAGGTTAGGAGGGACACAGGCCGAAGACTGCCGGCCTGTTTGGAGCATTTGCTTTGGACTCGTTCGGGGATAATCGAAGACTAACGTTCAACGATGAGGCAGCAGAGTAGGCTACCACCCAACCTACACTCCAGTGTCAGCAAGCGATTGGCGCTAGCCGCTATCGCTGTCGAAGTCGTTCGGCTATGCAGCTAGCCAAGTGGCTTAGGTTACACACTGTGGACAGGTTAACCTAAAGTACCACTTATTTGGCTAGCTATGACTTTATGAGAGATGGGCCTCAAGATAGCTTACCCTTACCGCTAACCTCACCAAAACATTTGGTTTCCAAAACCTAACAGACGTGTCATTGTAACGAACGTGGGCGCTTATATCGTGGAAACTAATTACAAATGACGGTCGACCAGATACGCATCGTAAAGCGGTTATTTTAGTGTAGCTGCCAGTCACACCACAGCTAGCTAAGCTCATGCTAAGTGCTAATCGAAGCTTCGTTAGCTGTGAGTTTATGCAGGTCCGCCAAGTTAGTAGCTAGCGTTAGCATGCTAATGCTAAAGGGAGCCGTGCTCAGAAACTGAGCTCCGATCGCATGAACGCGTCGCATGCTTCATGGGCATTGGCAATATAATTCACAGAGCATTAAAATTAACATTATTTGATCCGAAATATGCTGAAACTCACCCGACGTTTAAACTGCCTCTGCACTCCCCCCTCCCTGCTCCGGACAGCGTTGCTGTGCTGCTGCTGCCTGACTGTTGTTGACACTCTGACACTTCCATTAGCGAAACATCGCGAGAATTGCAACTTGGCACTGTATTACGTAACAGGGTTGATCTGAGGGAAAACGTAAACATCGTACTGGATCCATTGATATTGTCTGAACCTTTACATGTCCGCCAACTTCTACTACATCATCTCTGACTCAAGTTTTTGCAAATGGCCCTCCGCTGTGCTAGTGTTACCCACCAATGAAATCTCCTGAAGATTGTAATCCAAATGTGCCAACTGCAGTTACATAATGTTTAAGGTTATTTCCGGATGTTAACTTGGCAGATGTCATGTAAAAATCCGTTAACAAATCCTTTCTCGTGCAGTGTGGCAGGTTACTGGCAACATGTGCCAAGTTTAAATAGAAGAAAATCAGGTCACTCATCTTAAATGTCTTATTAAACAAATTAATAATACCAATCAATTCAAAAGCACATACAAAAAACATCTATTCAATAGGCATAAGGAGGAAGATAAGTTGCATGAACACTGTTATTACTTATATAAAATATAAATCTTGAAAATATATCTATAGTTGTAGTATACCTCCATAGCTGTTATTTGTTAATGATTAATTAATAATGTTATCTCATATATCCTAATGAGGGTGACTAAATATTGTTATATATAATATTGTTTATTGTGTGTTAAATCCATTACGGAAAAATATGTGTATTTATGTGTGTGTATGTAGGCCTATACATATATTTATGTAGTGTACTGTTGTGATATATTTATATTGATAACATACATTTGTATAACAATCTATTAGCAAATGACACATTCATTATAAAGGAACTGATTATGTATATGGTACAATTATACTGTATATCAGGGCGGTTAATTGCATATTTTATTTTAAATCCATTTATTATATATTGGAACATGTAATATGATGATGAATCATAGGGTGATAAATGGGTGGCAGTTAAGTTTATACTTCTTTCTGCACCTTTTGGAACTCATGTTTGTACATTTTTCCCCTTGTTTTTTATTTTGCTTTTAATTTTGTTTCTGTTTGAAATAAATATTTCATTCATTCATTGTCAGCTGCTATATTTAAAAAACTGTTACAACAGATTTAATAACGTGTTGTGCACACATACATAAAATCCAAGACGTAAATGTTTAAAAATATATTTTTATTTTAATACATCAGGCTCAGTAATAAAATATTCACTTGGTAAACCAGTGTGCACTTGGTTGATAAAAATTGCAGTCTCAAATATGATAGTGAGTTATGAACAGGATTCTAAAACAAGATTTAATTTGCACTGGCAAGCCAACAACATAAAATGTATGATAGATGCATAATTGACAAACATACCGACTCCAGCTGCGTCTACAATAAACTGAGATTTACACTGGACAAAATGTAGTGTCCACATGTGTCTGATACATGTTAACCACCAACTTTTAAGTCTTTGATATTGCAAATGTATGTACTCAAAATTCTTGGACTTTATACTCAAATGAAACACTGCTAAGGCACTGGAGATTTGGGCTGAGATAATCATTCAGTGTAGTCTGAAGCAGAAGCAACATCTTTGTTTTGCACATAGTTTACACGGTCAAAATTTAACTACTGGTTACAAGACAGCAAATACTGTACACTGCAGTAACTCCCTACAAGCAGAGGACTTAAAACACTTATTGAAGGTAAAAAGTTTTATCCCACTAAGAAAGTGATTCATTATCTTTGCTTATATGCAACACCTCAAGCTACAGAGATGAAATGAAAACGTTTTACCAACCCCAACGTATGCAGTTCTGGCCATACAATATATGCATTTTGCTACAAGGAAAATGTACTAAAAGTCTTTTCAAACAATTGCAGCTCCGCAAAAATATTAAGAGATTGTTTGACATTGTCCATCAAATGAAATATACTTGTATATTTACATGTCTAAATTCTGTAATGATTAAAAGTCTTACGATCAATAGGATAGTGGATTTCTCTACAGGTATGGGTATGCTGTGCTCACTAATGAGCCTCAAGTTGCAGTACAGATCCATATCTAACTCTGTAGTTAATAACTAAACATTTTTTCTCAGATCAGTCTACCAATATACAAATATTACAAACCACTAAAAACCATAAAGTGAGAAAAATAAGTGACAGAAAATGAGAAGATATTGCCTACTGCTGTAGACACATACATTAGAACAAGTATATGGACAAACCCGATCAAAACTAAATTACCAATTTATACACATCGACTGTGCTACATACTGTATACACATTTACAAAATCAAGTTCAAAAGTGGTTTTAGTTCCCCAAACTACAATCAGTTTCACCACATTAATGGAGGACACCATCCAACCTTCAAGCTGCTACCTCAATCAAGCAGTAAAAACATTCTATTGAGGAGAAAAAAACACTTCTCCTGCTCTAGGTCCCTCAGTTCATCCATTATAATTTAGCATTATAGATGCTTGTACTTCTGATTCTCCAGATAAGCTGTTCTGCTCTAAAACAGGTTCAAAACTGGAAATACGGAACGATCCATATCCTGTGTCACCATGACTAGTGGGCAGTCCTCAAAACTTAATCTACTGTTGTCTGTGCACCACGAGTTACCATGCTAAACAGGATCACTTTTAACTAGTCACACCTAAACATTAGCTTTGTTATAGTCAGCAGACTAACCCTATAACCTTGCTTTGAGAGACAGGCGCTGAATTCTTGTTTTCAGCCTCTGTACACCCCACCCCCCTCTCAGAAAACATGCTTCTGCTTACTTAGAATAACCCGCAGCAATAGTCAGCTATTTGGCCAGTGATTCATGCTCCATCAACAGAGTCAATCATGCAAAAATGACACAAGCAGAACAAGTACAGTGATACTCTAGGACTGTTTTTTTTTTTTTTTCAAATATTAGCAGTAGTAATATAATATTTGCATTACAGACAATTACTGCCAAATACAACTAACACTAAATAAGGATTATAAGTAAATTGCACCATTTTCCAAATTATTCGCTCACATTATTGTAAGAACGAGATTCCAAAACCACGAGCAAATGTTCTGTCACTGCTTCTTGCTAATCTTCCAAAGGTTTCTATAATTCTGCCATGTATTCAACATGTTCCACCTCATAAATAGTTTGATTATTTGATTTAAATGCGAAACAACTTTGATTAAAAGCTTAAGATGGATTACATGCAAACGACCACTTTGAAAAAAATCAAATGTGCCTTTTTGTCATTTCCCATATCGGTAAAGTTTGCAAGATTACTCATATTTTACAAAATAAAATACTTAAAAAAAAAAGAAAAAAAAAGATACAAGACAAACCTCCACTTGCTCAAACACATACACATGTAGCTACACTGAAGAACAGCCCGTTTATGGGGCCAACTCTTAATATCATCATATTACTTTAAGATAGGTATGTTTTATCACCCTAAAGTCTGCACCTTTGTTTGCAGACAAAGCAATGTCCTGAAAGGAATACTTATTTACAGCCAATCCAAATTATTTCAGTTCTTTACCAAAGTTGATTCTTTGACAAAGTCTGTCAAATTAAATATATTTATCTGTCTATTTACATGCGTGTATGTATATACATATATTTACAGAGTTCATATTTCTATTTTAGTTGATGTTTTAAAGGGTTCTTTTTCTTTAGCTATTTTGGTGAACTTGGAGGAATGTTTTGTTCCTTGCCACTGCGTCTGGCTCCTCGCTGTGGGGAAAATCTTTTGCCAGTATTCAGGCCTCTCTGATGCTCCCGGATCTTCAGCCCTGGACCTCCGACTCTGCCTTGGCCAGCTGTCCCTCTGAAGGAGCGCAATGGTTGCCGAGGAGGCCTTTTATCTCCTGGTTTGTCTGATGTTCGTCTTGAGTTGGGCCGAGGCTCCTCCACCCTGTTGACCTTGAGCTCTTGCAAGGGCTGGCTGGCAGAGGAAGAAGGAGGGGAGGGAGAGGGTACCGGTGCTGGCGGTGGGTCCTTGGCCAGCCTCTGGCACACCTCTGCATAGCTGAGCTTTCTTGGTCCCTGGTTAGAGAATAATGGGGTTGAATGTAAAAACTGAGATGTAAAAAAAAAATAGGATCAAGAAACAAAAATTGGCCACATGACAAATTATTTCCACTTGAAGACAATATGACACAAAATATCTTTTGACAAATACTGAATTGACCACAAAAAAAAGGCGTGGTATTTACAACAACTGCTGCAGTTGAAACTATGACAGAGGAGCAAGCTGTAAACGTATCATAGTGTTTTGTTAAACCTCCAGGCAATGCATATTTGATATCAAGAAAGGTATTATTTCAATTTGTTTAAGTTCATACTAATACCTCAGTGGGTCTGTAATTTGCTAAAATTCACCATCTAAAGGGATCCTGAAATTACCTCTGAATCAATAGGGAGCTGTGAACTGATGTTATAATGACCTAATGTGGTACTCCAGATTGGGAAAGCATGTCGTACCTGTTCTGATGTTGGACTAGGGGGAGATGGTGAGGGTGCTTCTGCAGCAACAGCCTGGCTGCAGGTGGGCGGGGAAGGTTCTGAAGTTGTTGGAGAGAGAACTTGTGTGGACGAGGAGGTTTTTTCCTCTGAAACATGTGGTTCCGTTTTATCTTCTTCCTTAGCTGGAGGAGAAGCACTAAATTTAAAAAGAAAGAGATGAGTCATTTAAGGTGTACACACATTTGTTACTCACTCACATTTTATTAGCTTGACTTGAACATTACCTTGAGATTGGCTGGAGTTCTGATTGTGGCACCGAAGCAGCAGGTTTAGCAGCCGTGGTCACAGACTCAGGTTTGTTGACTGGATCTTCTGAGACGTTTGTGTTTCGGGTCAAGTTCACCTCTCGGCTCACAGACTAAAATAATTAAGAAGTTTCATGTGCATTTATGTTTTGTCACTTAAATTTTACGTTAAAGAGTGGAAAGCATCATAGAGAGCAAGATATTCACCTTGGCTGTCACCTTTAATCCACGCACAACATCAGAGAGGCGCACCTCTGTCACAGTTTCTTCCTGCATGCTGACTACTGATCCTGGCAAAGGAGGGAAATTGGTAGCTGCCAAGTCAAATTTTGGAGGTGGTGCCTTGGCTTCCATCACAGACCTCTGCATTAAAGTATATATAAAAAAGAAAAAGTGAAACGACTGAGATAAAAATTGCTATAAAAACACTGTATTGGCAGCTAACTTTTTTTTTTTTTTTTTTTTAAAGAAACAAGATACCCTCAGGGTAAAATGAAGAAATGTGCTGACCGTTGTATGCTCATCTTCTCTTTTCCTCCGCATGCCTCTATGGCTGCTTCTCCTAAAATAAAGACACATTTAGATTGAGAAGTTTTGCATAGGAAAAGTAAAATTTGTATAAACGGACACACAGGCACACAGGCACACAGACACACAGACACACAGACACACAGACACACAGACACAAAGAAGGAAATGGCTTGTATTTCTCCTGAACTGCATGAAAGCCAAAAAACATGTTTGACTTCGTAGCCATTTCCTCAAACAGTGTAAAGTCTAAACAAACGACTGTGACAGCACAAGTAGCACAGACACAACCCTCATTGTGCATAAGCCTGTCACATTTTGGATGGAAACCCATCTTTACAGTGTTAATAAGCAGAATAATATTAACTCACCTTCCTCGTCCAGCCCCGCTCAGATCTCCACTGGGAATAGTGGCCAGTGGAGAATTGTCTTTAAAGTTGTAGGCAGAAGACATTGACTGTGGTGTGGTGGGTGTCCCTGGTGCTTGGAGGGCCTGGGGACTCAAAGGACCAGATGTACCATCCATCAGGGACCCTGGAACCAAAGAAGAAGCGGGCAAATCTCCAGGCCTAGGGTGACCTTTTACATGGTTTCTAGGGAGACACAAAGGACATACAGTATATACATCTATAAATACATTTTGATAGGTTTGTGTAAGTATAAATACAAATAACTAAAAAAGAGCAGTTGAACACATTAAGATGGTAGGTATAAAAAGGTTTGATGATGCAAAAGTGAGACAGTTTAGCAGGACTTGTTCAACATTTTATGTAAATAACATCACACATCAGAGGAAGCTGACTGTTCCTATTGTTAGCAACAAAAAATTATTTCAAGACTGGATAGCACTGCTGGGAATGACAGGTGTATTATGTCATGACTTGCACCTACCGGTTTCTGTTCATGGAACGATGGGCGTTGATCAAGCTGGTGTTTGCTTTGTAGTTCCCCTGACTGCTGTAACCATTCATGAATCCATTGTTAGGAAAAGGCGCCTAGAGTAGAGGGTGACGAAAAGAAATGCAATTACAAAATACAACCTGGAAATGCATATCGCGAATGATCTGAACAACGCATTTGCAAGTGAATAGAGGCTGAGAATATAACACCAACTGCAAGAGACTGTTATGACCTCCTTGATACATTTTAATTTTGCCAGCAGAAAACCTTTTTTTTTGTAAGATGGTTTAAGTGACATTCTGAAAAAGAGGTTCAGCTTCTCACCAGTGGTGTTTCAAAGTAAGGCATGACTGAAGGGTTCCAAGACGGAGACACCACAGGATAAACCGGGTACTGCTGCTGAGGGCTGTACACCTGCTGCATGTAGACCGGAGAGCCAAACTGGGTCTGTGGTTGGGTAGGCTGACTGAAAACACCTGAATCCATGCTGCGGAAGCCATTCTTTCCAAAGAACGTATTTATGGCCTTAATGCGGGCCTTGAATGAAGACAACAGAAGACAATCAGATATGTTTGCTTTGACAGAAGATGCAATACTTTCACTGTGATTGTGAGTAGAATTGCAGCTCTATCTTCTTTTTATCCCCTCAGATCTCATAATCCACGGTCATTAGGCCATAAAACACTGCACCGACTAGGGGAAAGAAGGGGAAGGGATGGGGAGAAAAAGAGGGAATGGGGAGAGTGAAGGAAGATAAGGGAGAGTAGAGATATAGCACAGAAGTAAAGATGCAGATTCACAAAGAGCTACGAAAAGTTTCCTCCTAGCTAGCCACAGTGCATATGGGTCCTTCCAAGCGCGATACTGATCATCACTGGGGTTTAGACAGAACCACTGATACGTCACAGTGTCATTTGTTTAATCAAAACAAAGACATCAGGGCACACAATGTCAAATCAAAGTCCAACTGAAAATGGATTAATAAAATACATAAAATCCAAAAGGTAAATGTCACACTGTGATAAGAAGGGCAATCAAACTGTCTAGAGATATGGGCAAGAGTTTTTACAAATACTAGAGCAGAGACCACTGGATTTCCTCCTTGCTTATCAAGTCTATGTACACACAAATCCCAAGGTCACACCTGAGGCTACAGCTTAGCCAAACAGTCTAACCTGGAGTGTAGTGACACAACAGCAGACACCACATCTAGTCTTGCGTAACACAAAGCTTGGCAGGCTCCGTAGTACAGCCTAATTTATAACCAATAATAAGAAGTGACCCATAAAAGATTACGCACCATGATCGGTTTCTCCTGGAACATTTTCACTTCCTCTCTTAGGTATCTGTAAGCCTGAGGGAAAGCAAATTTCACATTATTGCTCCTTTTTCACTGTGCTGAATTCAGTTGCAGTTTTCATTTTAGTGACTACACCTACAATATGACATTTAACATGGTTAACAGAATCTAATATTATAATAAAACATTCCAGAGTTATCAATTTAAAAATGTAGCACCTACCACCAAGGTCATTTAAGTTACCTTTGCTTTAAATGAAAATCTAATGGAAGAATTGCAAACGATGGCTCCAAATAATAAGCAGGTCTACAGTAAATGTGCTATGTTAACAGAAAATAAATAAAAATAATAAAAAAAGAAGTAATTATCAAAGGATATTAAAATAAAGTATTTAACCATTGATATAACTGAAAACGTACAGTAATGTTGTCTCAGGATCATACAACATTCAATAATTTCCCAGGTCCGGGATAAATAAAGTATTTATTTATTCTATTCTATTCTATTCTATACAACCAGTTGGTTAAAAAATGAGCCCCATGTAGTTATTAATAAGGACACATACCTGCAATGCGTCCATATCTGACTGAAATGTTATGTACCAGTTGCTGTTGTGCGCAAACTCAGCACTTAACACTTTCGGACAGTTTTCACTCTTGAACAGAGCCTCTACTTCCTATGAAAAGGAATGAAAGGAACAAATTATACATTTCTGCATCGGACACGGAACCTATAAATATCTCCCCCTTGAGCCATCCTGCAGGCTCAGTGATAATATGACGTCAATGAGCTACTGTATCCCCAATACAATAAATCAAATTTCTTGAGATATGAGACAATGAGTCACTGTCTACAGCTGACTGGTCAGTAGCCTTTATCAGAGTGAAAGCAAGCGCAATCATGTGGCAGCACCATGCGTGAAGGATTTACTGTACAGGTAGATGAGGGGATGTTGCTGGGAACTGTGCTCTGCATGCAGTGGGAGTTTTCTTTACCTCAACTGGGGTAGTCTCTGGCACTTCTCTTAGAATGATGATGCAGCGACTGTGGTTTGGTCGAACTTTTTCACCAGCATCATCTACTTGCACCATGGGGGAAGCTGTGACAAATCATAGGCAACAAAGGTCATCAATTTTTGAGGGGGGAGGGGAATAAACACCTACATATGTACTGGAACCCTCTTGAAATCCTCATTTATATCATTACTATTATTTGTCAGTCAAGTTTATTTCCAATTTGACTGACAGAGTCAAAAGGTACCCACAATACAAGCAGGCAGTAAAAACTACAGTAACTGAGCAATAGGGGTAGGTGATTTTGCGTCATTGTAAGAGGACAAACTGACACCCTATTTGTGTGATTTTCCACTATTTCTTCAAATGTCCAAGAATCTGTAAAGTTTCACAGGTTTCAAATTTAATTTTCGCAAAATTTCACACATGAAAAGGCCAGACAGAATAGTGAAAAAGATATTACCTTTGAGCTATCACTGTGTTTTGGAATTATACATTTTTACAATTGAGTTGTCAGAGACCATGTTATATAACTGCCAGTCAAAACCAACTGAAATCTCTGGACATTCTTCAGCACTTAAATCCTCACAAACTGTTAAAACTGACCAAAATGTTTGAGACCCTTCAGTCTTTTTGCACATCATGTTAACTGTAGGGGATCTATGCCTCACTGCAACAAATTTAAAGCCGGCACACACTGATTTTTATTAATCTTGTATGTGTTAAGTTGCAGTACATGTTTTAATCTGCCTTCCTGCATGGCCACAAGTCACTTAATGCAACATAAACACTCCACCCATGCTTGCTTTTGACAAAGGACTGTTTCAAAAAGGTTTATTCAAACAAGATGGCTGCACCTTACACGCTGAGAAAAAGATAGAAGGGCAATGTCACTTTGTGCAGCTCTGATGCTGAAGCTCTACTTCTGGCTTTAATAGGGTAAATACATTTATGAATATGCTGCACTTGTATTAACAGACGTGTTCTATATTTCAGTATATTATTGGCTAATAGACTTTACAGATAAAATGCCATATGGCATTAGCCAGTAAAGTCTAATGCTGACCAAACCCTTTTAATTAGTTAAAAATAAATCAAGTGTCAAACATCTCTGGACTTCCTTTGTGTGTAACAGGCTTCAAGATGTAGTGAGCATACACAGGCAGCAATGTGCTCGCCCTCTTCGACCCCTCAGACACAATGGCCAATAAAAAGCACATCAGCAGAAACACAATGGTGACGACATCATGTTGTGAGGCTCTTAACAGTGACACACCACATTCATTTATCACCAGTGGCTGGTGGATCCTGGCACCATCTCCTATGTTGTGAACAGTTTACTAAATGACACTTGCAACAGTATTTTAATGAGCTCTGAGTGAAGCTTTTACTTATTCACCTGGGGCAGGGAATCTCATCTATGTTTTATCTATGTTATAAAAAGTATTAAGTTTAAAACTTTCATTAGTTCATCATCAAGTATTTGTCACAAACGGAGAGAGAAGAGCAGCACTGGTACCTCGCAGTACATCCAGAATAAGGTCCGTGTCAGTGGTAAGAGCTTTGATGTCCTCCATGCAGGCAATGGTCCAGATGGGAACAAACTGATCACTGTCCATTTGAGATATCAGGTACAGGTCCTTAGACAGGTTCTCTCTGTAAACAAAAACAACACTGGACTGAAAGCATTGCTTAAGATGGCTTTGTTCTATACCATTAACTTGAGGCAATGCTAAAAGAATATTTTTCAATACATTTTTTTCATCTATCTTACAGCATTAGAACTCTTATGGAAAACAGGGCTTGATAATGTACATGAACCTTTCTATGTTTTATACATGTAGTTAGCAACTGTGTCTCGATTGAAAAAAAATACCAAGTCCCTTGCAACTATGAAATCAAATAAGTCAATTAAAGTTTTCATTTCTACTGTTGTTCTGGTAGTTGTATTCTCACATACACATGCTCCAACTAAGGTAATAATTCCCATCAGGGTCAGTGTTACAAAATGCATCCAAAAACTTGTTAAAGTTTACTTCCTGAACAAAACACTAGGGAAAAAAAATGTGTAAAAAAAAGACTTTGCACATTGCTACACCACTCACCTAGAAAAGCAGAACTCGAGCCGCTTCTTTAAAGTGTCTCTCAAACTCTCCTCAGTCACTGGTTGTTCCACAGACACATCACTGTCTGCGGTTGATTTGCACTGTGGGTCAAAGACTAAATAGCCCAAGTCAGGCTGGTCAATGTCATTCACCACGCTGGAGGGTACTGGGGCATAGTCAGCAGTGCTGTCCAGATACTCAGTGTCATATCCTTTACCTCCTGAAGAGGGAACGTCTGAGTAACCTAAGGCAGAGAGAGCAAGCAGTGACAAAATGATTGAGAAATAACTGCCATGTTTAAAGAACAGCATTATGCACTCAACAAGCTTTGTCATTCTTTGCAGTGACTGCATGCCCTCGAGGACAAGAGGTACAACAACTTCCTAATATCCTGTGTCTATCTGTAATTACTTTCAAGTTTAGTATACGTAATAAATGTCTATAATAGTCACACATTGCCTCTCTCAATTCTTTAATTCTGAACCAGTGCGGGGAGACAGTGGTTTAGTTTAGATTATTTTTCAATATGAGAAGACAAACTAAGGTTATACAATATCATTGCAGGCAGAACCTGAAAAGCTCATACCTGCAGTCATCTCAGCAGAGGGAGGGTAGGCCTGCAGCCAAGAAGAATCCTCTGTTCCCCCGGGAATGTCACTCTGCTGGGCAGGGATCTCCTGCCACACTTTGGCATTTGGGTTTAGACCTGCTCCCTTTGTGGTAACCTGCATGTTTATCAGAACATACTGTAAGTGATAGAGTACACTTTTGGGTACATACCTTATCTTATCCAGTATGTTACTGGCAAACAACAGTGCAGATACAGCAGGTAAAAGCTGTTTTGATCATCGTTTTTAAAACATAACATGAGAAGAAACTGGTACTTGTTCATAGTTTCTAAAAGTGAAGGAAGGAACTTTAAACACTTATTACATGTCAAGTTGGGTAATCCTTAATCTATAATTATTAAACACACAAGTCAAAAGCCCACTTCTGTATCAGCCTCCCATATGTCAAGATTTCAAAACCAGATAATTAACCTTCTGTCACTTGAAAACTCTGAATAGCTCTTTATGAGAAGGTCAAATTCTGCACAATAAGCACACCGCTCTGGTTTCAGCATACATCAAAACAGCAGCATTAAGGCACCCTCAATGTTCAAAAATGACCGAGCTAAATATACCATAGTCAATCCAATGAATGAAGTCAGTTCTGCCGAGATCCTGTAATCCAGCTTTCCGTTTTTGCAAAGGCATCAGCCCTTCACAGGCATACACACGTAAAACCCAGCTGAACTTTCATTGGCTTCCTCACTGCTCCAACCACACCTCTCCGGCGGTCACATGTAACTGTACATGGCGCAGATCCGCCTCTGAGCTCCAGCGTGACTCGAACAAGGGAGTTTGACCTGTCATCCATTGCGAAACCACGAGTGTGCTTCAGTCATTCATTCTAGTTGCCAATCAGTACGTGAATCTAAAGTCCCCAAAGCCTTTCTGTCTGCTATCAATATGTGGTTCCTGGCAGCAGTTTTGGGTTCACGGCGAAGCAAAGTAGCTTCACTTTGAGGGTCGGGCAGAGCACATGGCGGCGGAGTGCGCATGCATTTCTAAACATGCGTCGATTTGAAAACGCTCTCTCTCCTCCTTACGGTCGCTTAAAAAGAGCTCATTCTGAATATTCGCTATTTTATGGTTAATGGAGTACTAAATAATCCCCATATTGATGTCCTTTTCAAGTTAACGTCCCCGCAGCGCGGCGCCGTGACCTCTATCGGGGAACTCTTCGATAGCCGCTCAGCTACAGTTGTGTAAAAGCTAACATTTAACACAAATCACGTGCCGGCGCTGCTACACGTGTAATGTACCGAGAAAAAATGTACATTTAAAGCAATTTAAAACGGAACGAGATGCCACAATTCCCCCCCTAGTTCAACATGTTCTTAAACACGTGCTAGCAGATTAGTCTTGTTTGGTGGTCGTATGGCCGTAACGTTGCCATATGTTAACTAGCGACAGCACGCTAACTAGCCTGTGTTTACTAGCAGACCAGTTGGAACCGGCCTTACTTTACGATGCTAACCTGAGATAATTTCTTTGACAGGTTGACAGAAAGCGTGATAACTGTCTGCACGGGTGAATAAAAGTCGTGCTTGGAGGGGAAATTAACGCCACCATTAAAGAGTAAAGTTACTACGGCAGCGGAGAAGCAGCGCTACAGCCGGACTCACGATAGCACGAGTGTGTAACCCGAGAAAGGACGCAAACAGGTTGTTGCATGTTAGCTAACGTGCCCGTTTCCAGGCCCAACACTCACCATGCTGATATGTTCCTCAGCTGTATATCCTCTTCAGCTCAAAGAATCGCCCAGTTGGTTTTATTCTCCTGCGAATGCTTTAACTCCTTCTAAAAAAAACAAAACACCGACCGTACTTATTTCGAGTTGCCCGTCCTCGCTTTCTCCGCTTAACTACCGTCTCCCAGCAACTGGCCCGGTGTCTCCAACGACGGGACGTGCTCCAAACTTCGAGGTCTTTTAACTTTATCAACTATTAAGCTGTGTGTTTTTTTTTCTTAAATTAGAAAGTGCTTCCCATTTTACTAAAGATGTTCCGCCACTCAGTTCATCATACTCGGCTTCTCAGCGTTCAACCAGCGTGTGACAGCTGCGTCCTCGGTCGGCCACGGTCCGTCCCAACAGGCTGCACTCCGCCTCCGCCTCCCCGGCAACGGCAAGGCAGCGTAGCAACGACTCTGTGACCTCTGCGAGGAGGAGACCGGGGGAGCAGCCCGGCTGATGCGCTCACAGCGTGGGCGTAGGTTCGTTTCAATGTCGGGCGGGTCTGGGTGTCCTCCTAAGTAATTAATAATTCATTTTACTTACATTTTTTAATATGTTATTTTATATTAATTATTGAAATATAAATGCACACATCCACGGTGGAAATGTCTTTATATTTCTTTTATTTATGTAAAAGAAAACATAATTCAGGCTCCGGTTGACAGCACAAAATAAAACGGAAAATTTTATTATATTTTGCTCAACCTTTATTTATATATATACACTCGGTATATGTTAAGGCATGGAGATTTCATTTACAGTAGGAAAATGTGCAGTGTTACAACAGCTAAGGGAAAGTGCAGATATGTAGGGCCATTAGTAAAATAACTAACTAACTAACTAACTAACTAACTAACTAACTTGACCACCTGCTGCAACACAGGACAGACGGCTAACTAACTAACTAACTAACTAACTAACTAACTAGATAGATAGATAGATAGATAGATAGATAGATAGATAGATAGATAGATAGATAGGAAATATACATAGGTACTGTTAATATTGTACAGTTTTTTTTCAATATGTAGAAATTCCAATATTGCACAAATTCAACTGAATGTGAAAAATAACAATATTGGATAGGATTATTCAACTACTGCATCATGAAAAATTGTGGGTTTTTTTTCTATTTAAAAAAAGTAACTTTCATATATTCTGTATTCATTGCACTTACAGTGAGCTATTATCCATAATCATCAAAACTAGAACAAGGAAGACTTGTAATATTTCACTTTACATGTAGTGAATCTAAAATATATTACATTTGTACTTTCTTAAATAACTGATGGAAAATATAAAACTTTTTTGTGGTGTTCTGTTTTTTTTTTTTTTAGATGCACGAGTATTAATAGGAAAATACTGATATTGCACAGACTGTTCTGTGAGAAGAAAAGTCTGATATTACACACATTTTTGTATATGTAGAAAAACTAATATTGTACAGAGACTTTTTAAACTATATATATTAAAAAAAATTAAACGGCAAAGTTAGTAAATTATTTAAAAGCAATAATTAGGACATTTAAAAACAAATGAATCAACTAATACAAGTGCAGCTGGAAGTAAAATGAGATTGAATTATAAACCTGAGTTGCCCCACAGGATAAAAATGAACCAAGCTTTAGATTGTTCTGAAGGTTATTCCAGGTTACAGGCTGCAGTAAATCTGAATCTGAAGCTCAGTACAAATAGCCAGAAGGTACTCCAGTCATTTGACTGTGCATGGTAAGTGCCCACATTAAAGACAGTGAAGAAGTTTGATAGAAGGTTAAAAAAAACACTAAGGAGCTTATAAATAAATTAAACAGTTTATTTATGCCTTGAAGAGAATGAAGGCCACCCAAGCTTAGCGTACAGCTCATAGTGATGAGCATTTTATTTATCACCAGTAATAAATCTTAATGCAGAGTAATAAAACTGTGTCCAAGGGCTAAAGTAGCCACTGATGCGTTGTGGTGTAAAATGTCACCATAACGCAACGCTGAAAAGTTGCCTCAATAAGCATTTTTCTATGATGCACTGGCAAACATGATTTATTTCTGTTAAAGAAACCAATTTTTGGTTGTAATTTAGTCACAAGTTTGGACACATATTTAAAAAGTAAGCTGCTCATGCAGATTGTCAAACATTTGTATTTTGTGACTCGTTCAGTGCCACTCTAGTAGAGAGGATTAGGTTGTCATAAGCAATGTTTATGATTCTGGTGAAGATAATGCATTTAGTGTTATCTGCATTAAGAATAGTTCATGTTTGCTGAGTGTAACTGGTTATAAAAAACTTAGAATTCCTGTTCTATTTTCCTTTTTTTTTTTTTAAAGACCCCTTTCTTAAGTAAAAAAGGCACGCTCCTGTCACATGTATGTCCTTTGACTTACATGTGACAGGCATTTCTGGAATCAAAAATAAAACAAGGAAGAAGTGACACCTTTTAACTGTCATAATACAGTTCTTCACATGGCCATCTTCTGCTGCCTTCAAAACAACATGCATGGTAGCAGATGTAAAACTTTAGCAGTTAGTAGAATGATCTGAGCTGTAGAAATGTGACCTTGAAATGAACTTTAACTCCACTTAAAATATGTCTGCTGAAGGTTTTGGTTAAACCTCTGAAACAGTGACCTCTGCAGGACACAGCAGCTGAGTTCAGATTAAGGTGGAGCTTCTGGGAATACTGTCAACACTTCCCCACAAAATCTAAACCTACCCTCATGAAAACTGCCATGAAATTGTAACTGACAGCAGGCACTTTGACTATGGCAGGGAAAAACACAGTGAGGCAAATTTCACCTCTCATGTGCAAATGTCTACTTTGATAAAGGTTTATTACAATGCAAAAAAAAAAAAAAAAGCTAACTGGTGTACGCAGTTACCAACAAACTGAGTGAGAATCGGCTGTACACTGTAAAGCCAGGGATTATGCACAACTCCCAAGCTGGGAGTGAACAGGACACGATCTCTGGCAAGGTTTGAAAGTCAACTGACAAAATCAAGTAATAATGATACAAAGGTTTGTTTAGTAGAAGTGTTCAAGCCTCAGAAATTACTCACTTGTGTAGGTTTTTAACAATATGTGTTGTCCATTAAAAGGAAGTTTAAATATATCCCCAACAGCAGTTTTAAAAAAAAAGAGATCTAAATATTAAAGTTTCTCCAGTTCTACAATTTCATGTAGCAGATGCCTTTATCCTACACAACGTACATCTGAGAGTAGATACAACACAAGCAAGGATCTAGTCAGGAGAATACAACTTGGATAAGTGCCATAGAACAAATTCATGTGGGACAGGACCTTGGTGCCTACAGGCAGTGCAGGAACTAATAGGAATTTCTTTTTCTTTTCTTTTTTTTTCTTTTTGCAGTCTGTCAAGTGTAAAGGTGTTCAGTGAAGACCTGGGTTTTAGTCTTAAAGACTGAGAGGGAATCTGCAGATCGAACAGAGTTTGGTAACTCGTTCCACCACCGGGGAACCACAGAGGAGAAGAGTCTAGCTATCGACCTCGGGCCTTGTTGTGGTGATTGTATCAGGCGCTTTTTGTTGGCAAAGCATAGTGAGCAGGAGGAAGTGTAGACAAAACCAGACGTGCTGTTGCATTCTGGATCATCTGCAGAGGTTTGAGCGTGCATGCGGGGAGGGCCTGCCACTAAGGAGTTACAGCAGTTGGTGTGTGATATTTCGAGAGCCTGTACCAGGAGTTGTGCTGCATGTTCAGACAGGAAGGATCTGATCTTCGTGATGTTGCACAGGGCGAATTGACACAGACCGAGCAACAGAGGCCACGTGAGCCTTGAAGGTTAGTTGTCAATCATGACACCCAAGTTTCTGGCAGGTTTTGTGGGTTTGAGTTGGGTTGATTAAATCTGAATGTTGACAACCAGCTTGAAAGATGCAGCGGTTTGATAAGGAAAAAGCTGTATGACAGGTTAATATTACTGTGCATTGAACCTACCTTGACATTTAGTAGAACTGTGTGTTTGTGCTGGAACTGAGGTGCACAGGGGTTTTCTATTCTACTCCATAGTCGTGTCATCACTTAAAAGTTAATCTATATCTGGTAAGCCCCCCCAGGTGATTTCACTTCAGTCTGATCAGATCTATCAACCAAATTGTGGACATTCACTCACTTCATGGAGTTCAGTGACCTCATGTAATTACGGTGTCCACTTTCAACCTGAGAGCTGTCTGGGTCAAAGGCTCATGATCACCTAAACCCATTGACTGGATCACATGCAGCTGCAGTTCAGTCTGAACCAGTTGTGTCCTGTAGAGGTCACTGTCTGTTTAAACCTTCAGCAGACACATGGGTTTAAGAAAAGTAAATTTTTAAGCCAGATTTCTACATATCATTTTATCAACTGCAGAATTTTAAACTAGATTAACACACACTGTCGTTTGGAGGCATCACTATAAAAACTAGCCAAGTAAAGGACTGTATTGTTTGAAATAAATGCATAAAAGAAGCAAGAGACATCTTTCTTGAAGAAAATGCTGTGATTTTTACTGGTAGGCAACAATATCTCTGACAGGTTGGGCCTCTCTTCTTTAACATATCAAACACATGAATGTGCAGACAGTTTTGAACATGAACTATCAAAGTTGTGGGGTTTATAAATTACTTAAAATTAATTAATTTATCATTGATGTGAAAATATGCTTAGCAGTGATAATATTAAATGAGAAAAGTTAATGTCCAAGAGTTATAAATATTTAAAATGCAGAATGCCTGAGAGCCTTACTGCATATTACATTATATTTTGAACTGTCATCTGTGTTCCTTTACATACACATTTCTTGCACTGATGAATGAAAAGGCTTGAATTGGTTCATAAAAATTCACCAGAATTGAGGAAATTGTGTCATGTTCAAAATTTCCAGCAAGAGAATCACTGTTAATGAAATTGGGTTCATCTGTGATTTAACAAGTTGCGATAAGTCAAAATGTGTGCTGGATGAAACGCTAGTAAAAGTGCATCAGCATAAAATAAACTGCCTGAAACAGTGCATGCTGGGAAGCCTTCAGACATGAATACTGCATCAGGTGACTCGACCACCCGGTTTAGATGTGGTTCAGCTAAACCTGTGCTTGTTATGATACAGAAACAAGGTTTAGTTGAGCATGCAGCGAGTTTTAAACCCTCGCAAGTTCCAGTGTTGCTGAACCCCTTTTAAGTTAGTCTGATGATAAGTGTCAGGACAAAACCTCAGAGAAGTCTAACCAGAATAAATCTGAAAATCTGTGTGCGAGTGTAAGTTGAAGAAGACTGAGTTGTACATTTGTGTAAAAGTTGAAACACTTTGAGATGAAAACACTTTACTCCGCCTTGAATCCACAGTGACCTCTTTAATTATCAAAGTAACTGAACACCCAATTGTATTAATTTAAAATTGGTACACATGACTGCTTTACTATGATAATAGCCGAGTTAAACTTGCAACAAGGTTCATGCACTTCAGAATTTCATCCTACAACAGGTGATGGAAGTTGTCTAACCACAAACTTAAAAATGCCCCAATCACAAAGAGCTCAAGAGTTGTTCTCATTAGGCTTTTGTGGTTCCAACCATCTGTGACGCTTGTTGACTCTGTTGTAACTGCTGGATCTTCACGTTCATTACTTCAATCACAGCTGCAAGAAAGAACACAGTGTATGAAAGTTTAATACACATTTTAGTAAGCAAAGTTTACAGTTAATATACACCAGAGTAAGTTGAGCTGACATGTTTTTCTCTCTGAGATTTATGTCAGGGCTGTGGGAGGACGATTCAGAGACTCAGATTTTCTTTTGGCCACAGTATTCTCATATTTTTTTGCAGAATTTGCATGAAAAATTCCTTTGTACACTTAGAAGCTTATGATTTTATCAGTAAACAAAGTGGTCATACACCACTAAGAAAAAAAGCCACAGATATAACAGTTTAAAAACAAGGACACACTTTCAAAAGGTCTCTGCTGGAAGACATTGACAGTGTTTCTACAATGTCTCGCCTAGATGTTGTAAACTGTTTGTGTATCGCTTTCTGACCATCTGAAACGCAGCATGAACAAACCATAAATCCCATTTAACCACTGATATAACTGATCACATCAACTGATATGCTCTGATAAGTCTGACAGCTCGTCTATATGCGTCTGTGTTGCCATTCAGTCACTCAAATGATGATCTGATTTATTTATTTGTTGTACAATGTGGTTATTCGTTGCTCTATAAGTGAAACAGCCGTTTATCTACCATGACGTTTATACAACCTGGATTATGAGGCACAATGAGTGCCATGTCATATTAATTAGTAGAAATATAAAGGGCAGTTGCAGAATTAAAATACATTGCTTTAAATTGGAAGACTGACATACAGAGAAAACGTAAGGAGGAAATGGAGATCTGTATGAAAAATGTACAGTGGATTACCTTGTTTCATGGCATGTTTTTCTTGAAGGGCAGGCTGAATTTTCTCTATCTGCTTTGTGAGGAAGTCTACTTTACGCTTGAAGAAGGCCTTTGAGTCTTCCACGTTCTACAGAGAACAATTCAAGAGAAGATATAAAATATACAGGAGAAAGGTCTACATGATGTGAATACATTTAAATAAATTATTAGTTCATGTTATGTTTATGGCACTTAAAATTCAAATTTATTTACCTTTTCAACATAGTATCCTGTTCCCACATCCACTAAAACATGCTCCACGTCATTTAATGTTCCAGGGACATACATCTGGGAAGACGCAGTGTTAGGGAAAGTATATACGATATATGTCAAGAGATGCATTCATTCAAAGCACATCACAGCAAAATATTTCTTGTACAACTTCAAAAAAAAAAAAGGATACAGAACTGGTAAGGGGAACGAGCAATTCTTTTCCTGTATGTGAAAAGAGAGAAATGAGAGGAAACAATCAATCAGCTTAACAGTAACACAGTAACTCGAAGCACAGTGAATAGCAACTGTAAAATACCACATTGCAAATATCAATGCAGATAATCAGCTTTCTCCACAAAAGAGTTGTCAACTGTGGGAAACATTAGATTAGATTCACCTTTATTGTCATTACACATGTACAAGTACAAAGCAATGAAATGCAGTTAGGATCTAATCAGAAATTCAAAAGTGCAGAGTATAAATTGCGTTATTGAAATCAAATTATTTGCAAATATAAAATCATTTAAAACAAAACTGAAGGGTTTGCTGAAGATAAATCATAGAACTGTACTCATTTTTAACTGATTGGAGTTATTATATTCTCATTACACATCACAACTGATGTATTATGTTATGAGTATTTCATTGTACTGTAATATTTATAGTGGATTGAAAGAAATGTGTGTATTTTAATGATACTGTGTAAGAGCCAAACTGAGGACAAGAGTTAAAAAAAATACCAATAGATCTAAATTTGGCATCACATCAGATTCATGCTCTTTAATGGAAATATTGAACTCTACCATCCCGGTCAAATCAAAAATAAACTAAACTGAAGCTGCAGATTGAGAGATGTCATTAAACTAAAGTCACTGCAACTCTGCACAATAAATAAAAGCTATTTTAGTGCAACATACTCATGTACACTAAGCCACTTGAAAACAATATATTTGGACGACTGACTGAACTGTTCAAAGTTCGTATTGAACAAAAATACAGTTCACTTTTCTAACATATTAAAGAGGATTACTATATTTATTATGGCAAGTAAAAAACAACAACATGATGTATACAGCCACCCTGTGTACGCACCTTTATTGTTTTTGTTGAGGACATTCAAACTATCTTTTGCTTCGACATACTTGGTCTGGACAACTTTGAGCTGACCTATTGAAGACGTCAAGAACTCAATCTCCTGAAATAACAAATGTAGAAAACAGCTGAGGATAGAGACACACACATAACAGGGAAAACGCTGCTTCATACAGCCGACAACATGACACACCCGCTGGATGGAGAAGCTAACAGACGTTAGCTTTCAAGTGTGCTCGTTAGCTAGCTAGCCCACCCTCCCGGTGTCACCCAAAGTCTCGCTTTCATGCAGTCAGTTTACAAGAATACGATAATAGCAGATAAATAATTGAGTTATTTATGTTACCTGGTCTAGCTGGGTTTTGAGTCCCTCTAACTGAGGCAGGGAGAGGTCTGTGAGGTTCACCGCCATGTTGGTAGCGTGATGCTAACTGACCTGTAGCGTTGGTGCTTCCGGGTGATGGAGACGGACTGTTATTAGCCTGAAACATCGCCCCCTGCCGATCAAACACAAACACCAAGCTGCTCCGGATAAAGACTGACTGATCTGCCTTTTCAGGTTTGGGTAAAATAATCTGCACTTCCACTGCTGTTGGAAATGTAACAGCTTTAAACCACAATGCTGTATATAGGCACATATCATATGGAAGGTATCACATATATATGAATGAGGGCAACTAAATATTGTTATATATAATATTGCATATTGTATATTAAATCAATTAGTCATGAATATGTGTATGTATGTGTGTATGTAGGCCTATACATATAACTATGTAGTGTACTGCTGTAATATATTTATATTGGTAATATACATTTCTATAACAATCTATTAGAAAATGCCTATTTATTAAAAAGAAATGAATTATGTATATGGTACAATTATATACTGTATGTCGGTGCAGTTAATTGATTATATATTGATGCACATTTTATGTTAAATCCATTTATATATAATAACATGTACTTTGTAATGACTCATAGGGTGATAAGGGGGTGGGAGCTAATAAGTTTATACTTCCTCCTGCTCCTTTTCAAACTCATGTTTGTACATTTTTTCCCCCCTTGTTTTTTAATTTTGTTTTTAATGTTAATTTTTGTTGGAAATAAATATTTCATTCATTCATTCTTTTATTAAAGGTCAGTGCTCAGTGTTCTAATAAACTCTTGAATCAAACTGAGATTAACTTGTACATTTGTGCATGTATAATAATGTAAAAAAATGTAATTATCACAAGTGACAGTGAACAGTTAATCCTTTTTTCTCAAAATGAGAACTAATTTACATCCTATTTTTTTTAAAACTAAACTTGATGAAAATGTCAATTCATCCCTTCCTATTGCCCAGTTCACTGAAGATCATTCATAAAACATTGCTATTTTTAAAAATAGAAATGCAAGCTGACATTTTTTAAGTTATCAAGTTTCAGCCAACACTCTCCATTGTAAAGACTCACCTCTTTAAATAATGATCTCTACAAGTCTGGAAATTTCTACTTTTCATCTTCTGTTTATATACTGACCCTGTGCATATGTTTACATACAACTGAGCCTTGTATGTACTTTTTGTACTACTTCAAGCCATTACTTTTTTGTACATGTTTGGCAATGACAACTGTACTCTACAACTGTTTTCTACTTAACATTTGCACATTCCTTACTGTACTTTAAAAATCAGTGTGAATGCACTGACAAGGTTGCTGGTTAATTTTCTTGTACACAGACTAACAAATGAGAGAAAATATAGAGCAATACATGTTCTCCATTAGATCTTACAGGTGCAGGTTTAATGTTGTCAACACACCTCCAACCTCTGCAATTTTCATCCTACGAGAACATGTCACAATTGTGTACAATCTAACTGCTGTCCACAGTAAACTGATTGTATTCCACACAGTAAGTTGCTTATGTTTCAGAACACATTTTTTGCTTCCACAAGATAATTAAATAATATCCAGGCTTTGGGCTCTACCTCCCAGCATAATTGTGATTAATTACTAAGTAATTCCCTCAAAACAAACAGAGACACAGAGCACACAGATTGTATGCGAAAATACTTTAATTCAAAATTGTTGGTCATTCAACATATTAAAAAGTCAATTAACCACTTAAAAAAAATCCAAGGTGTTTAAAATCATCAAAACTATAGAAACATTGGTTAAAAAATTATGAATTTGTTTAAATAAAGATAAAGTAGCACTTTAAGCTTGAAAATAAAAACTACTTAGAAAACCAAGATTTAACTTTTAAGTTACAAGTGTGCGTGCTGAAACGATAAGATTTGAATACTGCACAAAATATTTACATCCTGATTTCATTAAATGTCTGCCTTTTGGTCCTACTGCAAGTGGACTGGTAAGCCGTAGACCACAGGAGCAGCTCCTATGATGTGCTTCAGCTGTGTGGCCTGACGTGCTGGACCAATATGATCCAGGAGGGACGCTCCAGATTCAGCAGATAACCACGACTCGAGCAAGGCTTTGGTGAAGCGATCAATATCCCGATCGGTCACATTCCACAGATTTCCCAACACAAGGGGACTAAAAAACAAAAGGAAAACGGTACTTGACACAGACATCACAGGATATTAACAAAATTAACTCTGGAACATTTAGTGACATTATGACTATTCCACTGAATATTCCTAAAATCCACAAATATTCTTTATATTGTGAAGTTAATCATTTGTGGCAAACAAGATTCATAAAGCTGCCAATTTAACTGACTAAGCATAACTTTAAAATGTCAAAATAAAAAAAGCAATAGTTTTGCAATTTTTGAGTATCTGTAACATCTAAATCAAAAACAACCCATGTGTCTTTATTTTACACTGAAGATGTGTATCAAAAATTCTAATATTAAATAATCTTCATTCAGCTACATGTGGATCAATCTTTAAAAACAGATAACTCACCAGCCTGCGATGAGGTAGTTGAGAACGATGCCTTGACCCTCCTGATCCCCACGTACTGCCAGAGCAGCACTACTGCAACCGAACAGCAGAGAGGCTGCTCTCATCTGCCGTTTGAGGACTGCCTGGCTGTCTAGGAACCGTGCACCGGCGCCATGGCCTACGTAACTAAAGCATGGAGAGAAGAATAGAAAGCGAAACTCAAGGCATGAATATACAAAAAGTAATTTTATCTGATAATAGAGCTTAACTTAAAAACTAAGAAAACTGTTCACAGCAGTTTTTCAAAGTGTGTTAGACACCCATAACATTGGTATACAAAGATAGTACTTGTATAACTTCAACTTAATTAGTTGATATTAGATGCTGCCACCCCCGTGCTTAAACATAGCGATGGCATCGGCCACATCATGAGCAGTGCCTGGTGCTTACCATATACACCGTTTGAAGCTTTGTTGAAAGAGGTTTTGAATTTTTTTTTTGTCTCACTAGAAACTCTTTTCCCCTCATGCTTTCAAGATGTTCTACAAGTTGTTTAGTGAAGAGTCTATTCACCTTATATACAAAGGTGTGTGTCCAATAAATTCAATTTGCTACAGGTGTTTTAAACAGTTTTGTAAATAGAAGATTTCAGTTTTTAATTCTTAACTAATTTTTCATAAAACTCTAAGAGCATGTTGTCCCTTCGTCATTATTTGTTAAGTGTAAACTGATGAGAAAAACAACATTCATATGAAATTGAATTGACAATGCAGTAAAGTGCCCAAAAAGTGAAAGGGTCTGAATACTGTAGTTATTTATGTTTATGCCTGACCTCGCATTAATATAATAATATTCAACATTCTTGTGACCTCTAATTATTGCTTTTTTTCTCTTTAGGTTGTTCAGATAATGTCAAACTCACATGTATAGATCCTTGGTCGCAACAGCTTCTTCCAGTTGACTCGAGTCAGGAGCGACTCCACACACACCTTGCCAGTCCAGCTTACTTTAAGGAGAATGTTATTTAGTAAATGGGACAGAACTGAACCAGTGGCATACATACAGACAAATGTAATATTGTCATGTAAGTAATGAGTTTTTATCTCACCTGGCAAACCATTCCCTGAATCGGTCCTGAGTGTTTTCTAAATTGGCATCAGGGTCCAACACATAAAACACCTTCTTTGTATCCACCCCAAGCCTCAGGATTGACTGAGAGTCATTCTGAAGGTAAGATATAAAAAATAATGATATCCATGTCTACTATTGATCTCGACATGAAGTAAATCACATCAGTACCACAGACTACATGAATGCAGCTTACTCTTACCTCCTTCTGAAAGCTCAGTCCAAGCAGTGAGTGCAGAGAAGGCATCCGGCTTACAGAGCGAGACTTCAAAAGGGAGGTGCTCTCCCACGGCAACTTCTGAAGGTACTGCATCACACAAAAGACAGCCATTGATAAGAATCAGATATTTTTCGTCCTCTCAAATGACATATTGAAATAGAGCTTTTTTTGGTCTTTGTGACACACACGCCTATCTCTGTACTAATCAATCTACAGTAGAATTCAGTATTTCACATAGATCATGAAACCAACCTTGTCCAGGATTAGAACCACGTGGCCTTGAGGCTCGTCTCTCTCTGAGAGCTGGGAAACAGCTCTGTGGAGAAGCTGATCACACTCAGTGTTCCACTGTGTAGAAACTCCAAGTGCAAATTTTTTAAGATCTTCTTCAGAGAGCACAGGAGATGCAGAAAGCACTACCTATAACACAAGTCACAAGTGTTAGTGGTTGTTGTTTTGTTGTTCCTTTTTCCGGCTGCTTTTTAGACTAAAACAAAACATTGGAAAATATTAGCAATTAGAAGCAGAAAGGTAAAAAAAATTAAAAGAAAAAAAAATAAAAGAAAGAAAACACACCTTCAACATCTCCTTGCTGACTGTCACTCCCCTTGCTGATAAGGCCTTGCAAAGTTGATGGGCCTGTTTTGAAAGCTCAGAGTCCAATGAAAGCGGCAGAAGCAAGCTCCTCCAGCATCCAAGTAATCCCTCCATCTCCTTTAATAGTTGCTGAAAGAAAAATGACAGTAAGTTTTGACTTTTCCTCCTTAAAGTAACATTTCACAGTCACAACTTGAATAACTAAAGAGCCTTAACTCATGTTCCACGTCAATGGAAATTTAATTTTTGTCGTTTTTTTCTTTGAAATTTCTCAGGGTATATCTTTAAGTGAAAGTAAGTAAAAATCAAGGCACTACAAAGCCCCTGCAGAGTCATTATCACTCACCTCAACTCGAGAGTCAAGAGTCTTGCGGCCCTTCCACCATTTGGCTTTCTCAGACTCACAACTCACAACCTGCTGTTCCATCAGAATACTATCCATCTCCTCCACCATCCAACTAACAGGGTGCTGCACACAACAGAGACAAGAGAAAAGTCATTATGTTGGACAGTGATAATAAAACCCCCAAATATACAAAATCTCAAAAAAACAAAAAACAATCTTGAGTTTTTTTTTTTCTTTTTTTCTTATTAGATTTATTATAGGGCTTCTTGAAAAAATACAAAACTGACTGGGTAAAAAAAAAACAAAAACCAAACACAAATACACATACAGCAATTTAAATTATCACTACAATTTTGCGGCAAAACATGCACGGGTTTCAATAATTCAATCAGAAAATTTAAAGTTATAGGAATCATTAGAAACTCAAGACCATGTGTATTTGAACTGCTTTTGTTTGCAACTGTAGTTCTGGTCAGTGAAACAAAGAAAATGTTTATCTGTTTAAATGGTGGAGTGATATTATGACAAGCTTATATTACTTGCTGAATTATTTTTTTCTTTCAGTTCGGTTCAAGTACAGCTGCAATGGAGATTTTCCCCATTCAGCTGAGCTACTCATTACTGGTGGTAAAGGATGGAAAACTGTTTTCATGGCAAGATTTTACAGTGATGATATTGCTAAAGCAATAACCATTTACCCAGTTATCTAGTTTCAGATTGTGGCTATCATCTTGCCAAGATTTTCATCTGTGTATAAAAGATAATACCGTTTTACCACCATTTTAAAATGATGCAACTGATCACACTCACCTGCTGTCTCGATGTGGGGATGTGAACGGTGACGGGAGCAGAACCCTTTTCAAGACGTGACAGTATTATGCTGTTGCCCATTTCCCCTGGTTTTACTCCAAGCACAGACATCAAACACACCGTCACCCCTGTAAGGAAAAGAGTGGAGACAAAGAGAGAAAAGGACATATTAACGAAGTATCATGCAATCAGGTTCTGCTTTTGCGTAGCTCGAGGATCCAACATTCTACCAAAAACATTCATCAGATCAGTCACCATTTAGTACAGTCACAGCAGCAAGAGGAATGGCACACAAGACAAACAAATAACTAGAACTTGCTATGAAACTAAATGGTCAGATTTGGGCTCTCATTAAATGTGCAAATCACATTTTGATGGAATCAAACATGAAAACAACCATTTTACTGCCTTTAAAGCTCAAAACACTTTTTTTTCTCCCTACCTGAAGGAATTTGTTGAATTTGCTGGATAAACTCTTGACAGTGGTTCTGAGGAAACATTGAGGCGTCAACGGTGGGGAAAGAAAAGATGTTCTCCATCTGAGACAGTCTGTGTTCAGCAGAAGTATTGGACACAGTCCCACTGAGCTCATTCAGACTCAGAGCATCCATCTTGTCTGTCAGCTCGTTGGAAGCTTTTTTCAGCTTTCTATTAAAACCACACAAAGCAAAGAAAGTTTTCAATAATTAAATGCAGAAAGTTATGGATTTGAGCAGTCGGATGTTAAATGCATTTTCAGTGAGTTTATGAGACATCTAGTTGGGGACAAGATGTGTGCATAAAGACACTGTGCTTTTTTACACATGTGCTTACTTGAGAGATCTGGCTAAATGCCTGATTGTACGATGGCGACTTGTGATGCCCAAAGACTGGGCATGCAGCATTGCTGTAGTATTGGGGTCTTGCTGTCCCATGGTCAAGGCCAGAAGAGCGCAGAGGGTGGGATAGATAGTGGGAGAGGGGAAGTGCTGAAGAGACAACCAGGCTGTGCGGAGCAATGACTGAACCTCATCCAGCGAGAGATTTTCTGGGGGGGAAAAAAACCCAAAAGCAATTATACAGGGAACATCACATTTTCTGTGGCTCTTCTCTGCCATATTGGATAAAAAGAAAGACAAAAAACAACATTAGATTTAAAAAAAGAAAAAAGAAAAAGAAAAAAAGATTTATTTTTATGTATTCTACATGTATTTTTTAAAGTACGAGGTCAATTTCTACTTTATTATGCCATTTCTGGCACACATATAAGGCAGTTGTAGGAGATCTTATGGTGCATAAATCCCCCTCTTGTAATACTATTGTTAGCACATATTACATATTACCTGCTTGGGAGCTAGACTCACCTGTCCTGCTGTCTGAATGAGTGAGGTGGGTTTGTGGGCCTTCTCTTGGATGACTTCTGTGCTTCAGTTCAGACAACTCATCTCTCCCCAAACACATATCCCTCCGCAACACCTCAAAATCTATGTCTAGAGAGAGAAACAAGACTTTCTGTTAAACACTATGATGATTATGATTGTGATTTGTTTTGCCATTACCAGGTAATTAGCATACCATTTTACAAGCCTATTGTTGATGTTTGGAGACTCAAACTATGTACAATGCTGAGTTTCAAAACATTAATAGTAAGCTGGTAGCAAACTCAGGGTTTTTACAACGACCACCTGTAATATTTTAGAATCAAATCCTCTATGACTGATTGAAAATTGAACTCATAGCTTTTAATTTTTACAGACAACATTGTGCAAATGCCTGGCTTATAGGTTTTTTTTTTTCTTTCCCCCCACTATGTACACAAAATACATACTGGTACCTTTACTTGAAGCGGTATTTTCGTCAGCCTCAGTGTCCGATGTCCTGAGGTGCTCAATGCTCATGTCCAGGACTTCATTACTTTCTTCCTCAATGCTCCTCATTTTGTCTGGTCCCTCCACTAATTCTGCATCTGTCTCGGACAGTTGCCTTCTGGTTCTTCCTCTTCTTGTTGCGACCAAAGTCTCATCTTCAGAAGAGGTAGCAAGAGGCATTGCAGTGCTCTTTTTCCCCTTAACCTGCCTCTTAGGTTGGACCTTCTCTGCAGGTGGATCTGAGACTTTTTTAGCATTCTGCACAGCTCTTCTAGTAGTTGTTCGCTTTTTGAGGACATCTGCTTTTTCTTTGGGTTCTGCTTGGGTACTGGCCTCTGAGTCACTTTCATCGCTAAATTCTACCTGTATTCAAATATTAAAAAAGACATTATTTTCATGAAAACTCAGACTATATTTTTGTAAAAACAACAACAAAAAATTAGACTGGATTCCTACCTTAAAACGTGATTTCTTTGTGCGTTTGGGGGCAGCAGGTACAGGCTGGGCTTTGTCTTGAACTGGTGACAACTCTTCATACACATGAAACTGCAGTTTAGAGGCAGTCCTCGGTGCTTTCTGCACTGAGGAAGGGCCTTTTACGTTTTGAACAGGAGTGCAAGCTAAAGTAGGTACCACCGTGTTGAAGTCGAAAGCGTCAAGCACTCTAACAGAGGATCTAGACTTTGCCATTACTGGTGTCATGGGAACTAGACCCTTTCCTTTGGCTGAGGAACTTGTCGCTTGAATCTTGACCTTCTTTGCCTCCTTTTTTTTGTCAGCAATATCTGGGTTTTTAATTGTTTCTTTAGGCTTTTTAAGTATGGATGAGGAAGCGAGTGATCTCAGGTCTTTATCTTCTTTTGGTGGATTCCAAGTCCAAGCATTTGAGAAGAGCTCCTCTGGGGTGCAACCCTTTTTGGCAGCTAAGAGCATCAACGATGCAATGGCTTTGGTTGCCATCAGGCTTGCTCTCACAGGTGTTAGCACAGTAGAGGGTGTTGAGTCAACAAATGCTAAGCCAGCTTCTAGTATTTTCCACACTCCACAGGCCTTATTTAGCCTCGGCTCCAGCCCAGACAGAGCCATACGTACATAAACACGGCCCACCACATCCTGCATTAGGGAGGGTCGGGAGCTGCCTTTAGCAGGGACACAAGCAGGGAAGAGTTTAGCTAATTTTGCCCTAAGTTTGCTGGTAAGATTCTTACAGCGGGATAATGTTGCCCACTGAAGTTTTGAGCTGACATTAGCTTCATTGGGATCCAGCTGAAGAACCAGATCAGCTTGTGTAGCTGCCCAGCGAGCAGTGGCACGACCCAGACATGGTTCAGAGCAGCAGGGGCACTGACATTCAGGTTCATGTGCAAGGCAGGAGAGCCAGCGGCGAGGCTGTGCTTTGAGAGGTGGGGAGCTGGACTGATCCTTCACTACAGGTTCTTTGGCAATCCACCTAGTGCTTAGGATGTCCTTCAGATCATCCTCCATGGTTGGAAGAGGAGACTGAGGTCTCTGCACTGGACGTCCTTTCCTTGGTTTGATTTTCACGTCTGCTCGCTTCACCTGATCAGAAAAATCTGTGGGAAAACAAAAGAAAAAAATGTTTTGTTGCTCAGGCAAAGTGACACTATAGAAAAACCATTCAAACTTTGGTTGGATGATATACCGTAAATTAAATCAATATCATGGTACAAAAAACATTATCCTGAAATCAAAGAGGATTAAATGAATGGTCAATGCAATGAAATATGTTCCACTTTTAAGTACTACATTAGCCAAAACTCCTACTGCTTATAAAAGCTGCACTACAATAACCAATTTTACTGTTTCTGAGTATTATTTACTTCACTAACATGAAAAGGAACATCTCGATTGTCATAGTAAGCCCATCGAGCACTATTTACAATGGTGGATTTGTGCATCAACACACCTGTGCAGAGCTCCAGAAGGTTTCTGACTTTGTCTAAATCCGTTTTACTTTCCTCTTTCTCCCCCTGCATTAACTCCAACTCGGCTTTCATCACAAGCAGCTCAGCACATCTAAAACAAGGACAAAAACAAAAGAAAAGATTGAATTTAATCATGGCGTTAACCAGAGTTTATGATCACGAGTGTAATACATTTATCTTGTGCAATGTAATATGTATGGATGTACTGTATATTGTACTGTGTTCAGTATCAAACCAAACTAATCCAAAAAAATTTGGCTCAATTTTACCAGCTTTAATTTGTACATCTGTACAACTGAGTGCTACAAAACAAAACAATCTGACAAATTACAGGAAATATTTTTGCCTATAATGCAACTCATCACCTAACTAACATCACCTCTCGCACTGTCAAATAAAACTGAGTGATAGGCTTCAAAAAATTAGGATTTATGGCATTACCTGTACTAAATCAACTGAAACTTGACTTGAAAATAACACAAGTTATATCAGTTCCAATTATCTTTTGCTCCTGTTTCTTCAATTGCATTTTTAACTCAATACAGTGAACAACTTACTGGCTGAGTGCCTGAAGCTTAATGGCAAGTTTGAGGGCTTCTAGGCATTGAAGTCTGGCATCGTTGATGGCCCCACAACTGCTCCTCACAGCTACCAACCTCATGGAGCTGTTTAACACCTCTGAGAGCAGCTGCCACTTCCACACTAGGTTATCACCTGCTCGTAGATCAAAAGACAGAGGGAATCACGTTGACAAAAAGCACTAAAATATACACTTACAATATACTTGATGTATTAGAATGAACATACCTTGGTCAATGAAGCGCACGTCTGAGCTGCTGTTGTCTGTCCCGTATAGGCCAGTTCCTACTAAAGTGTATAGAAGGCTGCAGAGAAGTTTCAAGCTCTCATACAGGGCAGCGTCTGGGGTGTTTATACCTGAGGCATAAAAACATATGTCCATAGTTGGTTATAACAGGAAACACCAGCTCTACATTATCATAATGAAAAAAATACAAAGTCATCTGGTTATATAAGGTGCTGTAAATGCTTCTGCTAACCTTGCTGTGTGATACGGCTCCGCTGGGTTTGTGGAAGTTGAGCCGTGTCTAAATTCAGGTAAGAACTGGAGATCTGGAGGGCCTGTACACGCAGAAGGTACCAGGTCTTGGACTGTCTCTGATCATTCACTTCTTTGAGCACCTCACATAGATAAGGCATTCCACAATCCACCTGAAATAAGGCAAAACAGGAGAGGGGATTTTTGCAAAACAAAGGTAATAAATATATATATTTTTTAAATCACTCGTTTAAGCAAAATAATATTAGTGTGACAATGTGAGAAATGCTGCTAGCAGACATGTTAAATACCTGTCCTGTGCTGTAGTAGTACTTCGCTTTCAACAGGACGGCCAGCATGGAGAGAGAAGAAGGTCTGTTGTCGGCAGTGGTATCTGAAGCAAGAATTTTTTCTGCTTGCTCCAACTGGGCCTAAAAATGATAAATTACATTAGGAAATAATTTCTCATAGTCAAAAAAATAAGCTCAATAAACATATCTCAATCCATTTATTGATATGGGAAAAGATACACTCTCTATGCATCGAGAATAATCGTAACAAAATTGCATTACCAAAGCCACTTCAGGCGTGCCCATGTCCAGGAGGAGGCTGGCTGACTGACAGAGAGCGCTGGCACAACCCTGAGCTTCACCAAGTTCACGTGAAAGTCCAATCACAAGTTGGTAAGCTTCCAAAGCCTTCAGGGGCTAAAGAAAAGAATAAGGAGATTTGAAACATATAGAGATACAAATGTTCTAAAAATTATAACACTGGGATATGCCATTAAATACTTTTTACACACTGTACTATCTTTTACAGTGCAACTTCAAATTACAGTATTTCTTTCCTAAAATTCGTGGCTAATGTTATTTGATTCCTATCTGAGTTGGTCATATATTGCTGAAACTCCATCTAGGATAAGAAAATAACAAAAAGATAAGACTGGTCTTTGGGCTTGGTACATTTGCAGCCCTTTAACAGGCACAAGAAAACTACTGAACACACTAAAGGAGGGGAAAACCCAAAAGCATAATACAGGCTCTTTGAAATTTCCATCTGTAATTAAAACAATGTTTTCTGACACATGTGAGGTGGTTACTTATTAGAAGCTAAAAATCCATTTGTAATTGAGGAGAAAAACTAAAAACCAAAGCCACACCAGACCATATAAACAAAGCTTCTGTGGTGTTACCTTCCCCATGAGCCTGAAGAGAGCTGCAGTCAAAGCAACTGAGCTGCAGGTCTGTCTGGGGTTCCTGACAGAAGGCAGGGCTTGACTTTGAAAAAGAGCTGACCATCCATCCAGAGCTCTCTCCAAAGGCTGACACAACTCTTAAAAGGAAAAAAAGACAAACAAACAACTATGTAAATCTCTCACAAAGACAACAAGTGATGAACAATTATCTACTACGACACTCATCTTCACCAATCAAATGGTGACTTTCATTCTAAAGCACAACAACAGCTTATGGTATCATTTATATTTTGCAAATTATCTACAATAGGATAATTAAGAGAAGAATAAACAATCCCTACTGTTTTCTGCAGCCAGGTTGAAATGCAGGCCCTCATAGACCTGAATACTGTCCTGTGTCTTCTGCTTGTCCTCATAATCAAAATCATTGTTTCCTATGGGATTGGCCACACACGGTGTTTGCTCTCGTAGCTCTCTCCGTTTTTTGTCATTCTCAATAGCCTGACCAAAAAGACAAAACATCAATAATTAATCCCACATTTGTAAACTATTTAACCAAGATTTAATTTTAAATACCAGCTGATTAACAATTGGACAGTTTAACAACTCCTCAAGCAGTTCTATAAAAGCGCACTTTTGAGACCATGAATACTGCCACGCTTTGACCAATTTCAGTTTAACACATTTTTATTGTATGACAGAAAAAGGAATTCTAAACACTTACTCACTTCAACTAACATAGCACTAAAACAACAGCATACAACTGTAGCTCACAAAAGCATGCACATGACGTCCTGACTGATCAAAGAGAGCTCACCTCCTGAAGATTCTTCTCCAGAGTGCAGATATAAAGCCAAAGTAATGCATGAGCTTTGTCATCTTTCAGTTTGTCAGCCTTCTCTGCAGTCTCTGCTTCTTCTTCAAGAAGCCGTAAAGCTTCATGGGTAAAATCAACTGCTGTGCTGTGTAATCACAAATAAGCATAATTAACTCACAGACATCAGGCTGTTGGACCAACAGGTATCCAGACTAGCTTTTTTAGTTGTAGAATATGGTGGTAACAACATTTTCAATCACCTAAAACAATGTATTTAAGTCAATTGCAGCCCATGCATTATTAGGAATGATGCAAATGAAACTTATTACCAGTCAGTCTGTTCACTAAAATCCTGGAAGCACACAACTTGGGCCATTTCACAGAGGTAGATGGCACGTAGATGGGTGTGGGAACTCTCCTCATGGCAGATGTCCAGCAGATCACAGAGAGTGTTATAACGTTCCTGGGCCATGTCTGCAGCTACCTCCTTATAGGCACGCAACTCTTCTTCCAAAAGGCAAAGCATTACTTGCTCATCAGGGACGTCAGGACCGAAACCATCACGTAACGTCCTGTTCCAGGATATGAGAGCACAAGACAATGGTTATAGGTTTAATTTTCAATATAGCATACTCCTCAGAAGCCACTTTAATAGAATTTAACTGTACCTGAGTCTTATGTCCTCCTCGGAGTTACGTGCTGCATCAGTCTTTGTTTTCACCCACAGAGAGACAGGTTCAGCCATGTGAGTCGAGATCTTGTCCCCCAGAGCCTTCAGCCACAGTATCACCCAGTCCAAAGCTCGCTCAAAATGTCCAGCTCGCCGTGACGTTTGCACAGCCAGCATAAAGAGTCGGTTCAACTGGGTGGAGACATTAAAAACATTAAGAAATACTATCAAATAGTTCTGAAGACAATAAGTGAAAAAAATTGTAAAAATAGCAGGTTTCCCCTTTAGAATCATTTGGGTTAACAATTGGAGCATACATCAGTTCCAAAGTGGTGCATCTTAGTAGGTCTGAACAACAATTTGAAATATTATCAGGATCACAGTATGGACCAATGTAAGACTGAAAGTGCTGGAGCTGCATTTTAAAATGTATTTATATATATATATTTTTTTAAAA